TGAACTGTTTGGAACTATTGAGAGCTGCATGAACCACGTGACCGCGTATCGGCGAGTTCAAAGAGTGTCACAACTCTCTCTCTCTCTATGGTGCTGGTCCTGCAGCCCTGAGGGACTCCTCCAGAGCAGCAGCAGCACCTGACTCTTTGTTCTCCTCCTCTGTCCACCTCATCAATGCCTCATGTTCTGTGTTGTAGTTTAACAGGAAGTGTTTTACAAGGTTTGTTGTGTTGCCACAGCTCTTTACAGATTTTCCACAAACCTCACAAACCACTTCTTGGCTGTTTTTGGAGATGAAATAGCTCCACACACGACTATGTTTATGCTCCACCGTTGTGTCTACAGACTGAGACACTGAGTGACTTACGAGCAGTGTGCTGCTCCGCTTACACGCATTGTGCACTCACCTAGGCGGAAGAAAAAGTAGTTCCCACCAACTGCGTTTCATTTAGACAAGATCTCAATTGTTACTTTCTACCATCTTCCTGTTAATGTATGCATTACCTGAAATAACTGACGTATCAAAAGTATTGATCGTTTGATTTAAGAATTGATTGTAGAGCGCAAAGTTCTGGTATATTTTAGTATCGATCTGTACATCACTAATCACTGGTGACGTGTAGATAAAAAACTGATCACTTTTTTATCACCCTGCTTCTTGTGTGCAGCTCAGTCACCATGCTGGATTGATGTTATTTGTGAGAATTGTTTAAATACAAAGATTCTGTTAAATAATGCATGTGTGAACAGTTACAGATCCAGTTCAAGTCAGGTTCTGTATGTAGAGCCACACTGATTAAATTCACAACAAAAAAGGCATCTCTGTTTACAGAGAAGATAAACATTTTAAATAATTTTCTATACAATCAAGTTTTTTTTAAATTAATTTTATAAATGTCCATTTCATTTGTGGTTTAGTTTAGTTATAAATGCTTGTGTTGAAAATCAAAAGACGGAGGTATTCTGCTGAAGAAACCAGCAGATAACATCAAATCTTCATTTCAATTCACTCAGTAAAGAGCTCTAAAGTAGCTGGCTATAAATACTTGCTGAAAGAGAGGAAAACACAAAGTTAACGTCAATATGGTTGGTGTTCGCATTAGCTCACGCTTGAAGCAGAACTAAAGGTTCACTTGAGCCAGCCAACAGGATATACAAACCGGATTCCAAAAAAGTTGGGACATTAAACAAATAGTGAATGAAAACTGAATGCAACGATGTGGAGATGGCAAATGTCAATATTTTTTCGTAATATAACATAGATGACAGATCAAAAGTTTAATCTGAGTAAATGTAACATTTTAAAGGAAAAATATGTTGATTCAAAATTTCACAGTGTCAACAAATCCCAAAATAGTTGGGTCAAGTAGCAATAAGTGACTGGAAAAAGGAAATTGAGCATATAACGAACAGCTGGAAGACCAATTAACACTAATTAGGTCAATTGACAACATGATTGGGTATAAAAAGAGCTTCTCAGGGTGTCAGTGTCTCTCAGAAGCCAAGATGGTAAGAGGATCACCAATTCCACCATTGTTGCGCAGAAAGATAGTGCAGCAATACCAGAATGGTGTTACCCAGCGTAAAATAGCAAAGACTTTTAATTTATCATCAACCGTGCATAACATCATCAAAAGATTTAGAGAATCTGGAACAATCGCTGTGCATAAGTGTCGAGGCCGTAAAACTCTACTGGATGCTCGTGATCTCCGGGCCCTTAAACGTCACTGCACTTCAAGCAGGAATGCCACTGTCAAGGAAATAACAGAATGGGCTCAGGAATACTTCCAGAAAGCATTGTCAGTGAACACAATCCACCGTGCCATCTGCCGTTGCCAGCTGAAGAAACTCTACAGTGCAAAGAGGAAGCCATTTCTAAGCATGCTCCACAAGCTCAGACGTTTGCACTGGGCCAGAGGTCATTTAAAACGGAGTGTGGCAAAATGGAAGACTGTTCTGTGGTCAGATAAGTCACAATTTGAAGTTCTTTATGGAACACTGGGACGCCATGTCATCCGGACCAGAGAGGACAAGGATAGCCCAAGTTGTTATCAATGCTCTGTTCAGAAGCCTGCATCACTGATGGTATGGGGTTGCATGAGCGCTTGTGGCATGGGCAGCTTGCATGTCTGGAACCAGAGAGGACAAGGATAGCCCAAGTTGTTATCAACGCTCTGTTTAGAAGCCTGCATCACTGATGGTATGGGGTTGCATGAGCGCTTGTGGCATGGGCAGCTTGCATGTCTGGAAAGGCACCATTAATGCAGAGAACTATGTTCAGGTTCTAGAACAACATATGCTCCCATCTAGACGTCATCTCTTTCAGGGAAGACCCTGCATTTTTCCACACGATAATGGCAGACCACATTCTGCAGCAATCACAACATCATGGATACGTAGGAGAAGGATCCGGGTACTGAAATGGCCAGCCTGCAGTCCAGATGTTTCACCTATAGAGAACATTTGGCGCATCATAAAGAGGAAGGTGCGACAAAGAAGGCCCAAGACGATTGAACAGTTAGAGGCCTGTATTAGACATGAATGGGAGAGCATTCCTAGTTCTAAACTTGAGAAACTGGTCTCCTCTGTCCCCAGACATCTGTTGAGTGTTGTAAGAAGAAGGGGGGATGCCACACAGGTGTAAAAATGGACTTGTCCCAACTTTTTTGGGATTTGTTGACGCCATGAAATTTGGAAACAACAGATTTTTCCCTTAAAATTATACATTCTCTCAGTTTAAACTTTTGATCTGTGATTTGTGTTATATTCTGAATAAAATATTAGATGTTGTCACTTCCACATCATTACATTCAGTTTTTATTCATAATTTGTTTAGTGTCCCAACTTTTTTTTAATCCGGTTTGTATTAGAATTTGTCTTCGTTTCTAGTTTTAGATTGTCTAATAGAAAAATATGTCATCATCTTTTGGACAGATTTTAAGTGTAATCACTTCATGTACATCTATAACTGATAAACCTTTGGAGTCAACCCAGTTTAAGATGGCTACCACAGGTAACTGACCTTAGCTAACACAAAAATTGCTTTACACTTAACTTTGTATGACATCTCTCAGTAACCTCGAGAGGTTCTGCTCCAACTTTTTCATTTCTCATCTCTAGACGACCTTAGTTTAAAACTCTGGTATAAAAGGTGGTGATACTAAGCCTTTAATTGATTTATTACAATTTGCACTTGTTTCAGTAAGACTGCAGCATGCTGACTCAGTTGGTAGAGATGTTGCCTCTCAGTGAGAAGGTCGTCAGTTCAAATCCCGGCCCGGGACCTTTCTGGGTGAAGTTTGCATGTTCTCTCCGTGCATGCGTGAGGTTTCTCCAGGTACTCTGGTTTCCTCCCACACACTAAAAACATGCATGTTAGGCTGATTGGTAACTCTAAATTGTCCTTAGGTGTGAGTGAGAGTGTGAATGGTTGTTTGTCTCGTTTGTCTCTATGTATCCCTGTGATAGACTGGAGACCTGTCCAGGGTGTCCCCCGCCTCTCACAGAGTAATAGCTGAATATGGACACCAGTGACCCCGTGACATGAAAAGGAAGATGTGGGTAAAGTGGATGGATGGATGGATGGATGGATGGTTTGTTTGTTTGCTCGTTGGGTGGTTTTGTTGGCTGGTTCTTTCGTTTGTTGGTTTGTTTGTTCAGTATGTCCAATGTCTCTGTGAAAATGTTTTCATAAACTCAGGGTTTAAAGCGCTCCGGCCGGGTGCCGAATTTCCGACTTGAGAGCGAGACAGCCCTCTGGTCCACCTCAACTTAACTTTAGTTGATAGATAAGGATTACATCCAATCACATTGAAGCTCGTGTTGTCTTGACCAATTACTAACAGGAAGGCGAGTCTTAGAAAAGCAAGTGTGTATGTGGCTTCGCAGTGAAATCAATGCAGAAGATGGAGTTCGTCGCACCGGGATAAAATGTAGTTTTGCTGGAGAAACAAGTGGCGCTCTGCCTTCTCCATAACAGGAGGTGATGCCTCCTCCTACTCAAGTGTCCGGCGCCTCCTACTCTGACTGATGATGTGTCCCCTTTGGAGCAAATTGAAGCTCAGGCATGTGGATCAAATGACTGATTTCAGTCTCTAGTAGGTGTTTTGCTTACCCGAGTGAGGTAGACACAGGACATGTGTCACACCCTCACTGCAGCCTTTCTCCTCCATGGGGTCTAAAACTAATTCTGAGACTCGGGTATTACCTGTAGCTGATTTTTCAGGACAGTCTAGTTCAAGGCTGTGTTGAGATGATTCACCCAGGCTGTTAACTACCTCCGATCCTTGCACCACACCCAAAGTCTCACCTCGTGCCTCACCCGATCTAGCAGCTGGAGTGGGGACGTTTAGCAAACGAGGAAGCGCAAGTTAACGGTAGCTCATCTCCTGATTTAGCATTGCAATTGTTAACCGATCTGGCTTTGTTTATAATCTAGGCGCAAGACTCTTGCGTTCATGAGTTCATGACCGTAGTGAGAGTAGGAACGTAGACCGACCGGTAAACAGAGCTTCTCTTTACAAGTCGGCTCCCTTTTTACCACAATGGACCAACACAGTCCACAGTACTGTGGAAGCTGCACCGATCCATCGGTCATTGTTTTTATAATTCTTTGGCGTTTAAATTACAGCCTCCTCTGTCTCATAATCTGTTACCACACAGTTTAAACTGTCACAAATCTCAACATTCATGTCTGGATACATTTCCCCAGTTGTCTAAGAATCTGTCATTTCTACTGTTGATTAAAAATATTTGTCATATCTTGTTGCTGCTGACATTGCAAACATGTTTGTATGGTAACGGCACCGATCCAAGGTGGCAACAAGGTCTCAAACTACAACAAAACGTTGTAATGAAGTCATGGTTTAACCAGTTAGTCGTCTGACCAGCAATCATCCAAAACTTTTAGCTTAAAGGAAAAAGTAAAATATATTTTAAACACTTGTGGTGGTATTTTCTGACAGAACGTGATAAATATTGAGTTTGCTTTGCCCTGTCAGACTCGGAAGACGGCTGCCTGGCTGGCTGAGAACCTAACTAAAGACGGCCACCAGGTGGCGCTGCTGAATGGAGAAATGGCGGTGGAGCAGAGAGCGGCTGTGATCGAACGCTTCAGGAGCGGTAAAGAAAAGGTGCTCGTCACCACAAACGTGTGTTCCCGAGGTAAGACGCCCAGATCATTTCCTCCTGTACGCCGACGGCTGAACTTCAAATGACATGTCTTCTCGTGCGGGGGCAGGAATCGATGTGGAGCAGGTGACCCTTGTGGTCAACTTTGACCTCCCCATGGACCTGGAGGGAAACGCCGACAACGAGACGTACCTGCATCGGATCGGCCGCTCGGGACGCTTCGGCAAGCGTGGGTTTGCTGTGAACATGGTGGACAGCAAACACAGCATGGATATCATCAGCCAAATCGAGAGGCATTTCAGTCAGTATTCAAAATGTTCTCCATGTTGGAAACTAATTTGCTCTGATCCTAACGTTGTTTGTTTGTTTACAGACAGGAAGATAACTAAACTGGACACTGCCAATACTGATGAAATGGAGTTGCTGCTAAACTGATTTTTTTGTTTGTTTGTTTTTTGCTGAACTCAGTTCCCACCATTTAACATGTCTTGAGTTGTTTTCAAATATTTTTGTTTTTTGTTTATAAATGCATGATGGCTGTGTCAAACTGGATTTCTGGAGTTAATTTGTGACCTTTTTTATTTGTGTTTGAAAATGCACATGAATGTTTTCCAGTGGTGTTTGGTTATCTAAAGTAAAAGTCTGAAATGATCAAGGATAAACTTTGGTCAAATATCTTTAGTACTTGAGCATTTAAAGGTTGGAAGGTCTTCAGCTGATGTTAGCTTCTGGATCACCTCAGAGCAACAAAATGACCCAAAGAGTGAAATGTAAAAGCAAACTTGATTTCTGAAACGTGTTCAGGCTGTCTGTGGGCAGCGTTTACTCATGGGCTGGACAACGGTTCAGTTGTGTTCAAACTTTGTGAGCAGTAGTTTGGTTTGGGGTGCTGAGGTACAGGATGTCAGTGGACATTCATAAAACGTTTGTTTTCGCACACACCCTTCATATCCACAAAACGCACACAAAGCTCGTGGGAAACCTGTCCACTGCAGTATACAGCACCGCACAGGTTTCTTCCTGCCAGAGTCTCCGCTCCGTCCCTGCATCTGTCGTTTGTCCACAGATCCATCATGGAGCGTGCCACACATTCAGACTCCTCCATAAACGATGTCTGCACGATTTCCATCCATGAGTTTTTGGACATTTGACTCGTGTGAAGAGTCGTACAGCTGACGAACATGCCCACAAACTTTTGACCACACAATACTTGGTGCATACACACATTAGAAAAAGTTTGGCCTTGTGTCGAAGGGGCGAAGCTAATCCGAGAACAAAATGACATGATTTCTGTCACGCAACTACGTCAACGAGAAGATTTCAAGGAGTGTTCAGGGCCACGATTACAGTTTGAGGTTCCATTAGATGTTCAGAATTTGAAGCATCCAGTGAGTATTTCACTGCATTTACAGTCTTCATCAGGGCGTTCATGACTGAAAGCAGGACAGCAAACATGGCGTGTCAGCGCATTCCAAATCTTTTATTTGATTTAATTTAAATTAACATATGAGAAGAAGGCAGCAAAAACATCTGAATCTTCCTGCAATCATACAAACAGAAATGATAAAAGTTCCTCCATTTGACTGACTTCAATAAAACTTGTCAACACATTTAACGTTCTGATAAATATTAAATCGTGCCGCTTTAATAAAAACGCAGAGACTCCATTGTCCAGAGGAGCAGCAGTAGGGACTCGTGGTCCTCCCATCAGGAGCTTCTCTGACAGATGCACAGCAGGCACTTGTTGGGATGCTGCACTGCTGCAGGCTCAGGTTCATGTCTATGAAGTTCCTGCAGGGCACTTCGGCGGTCTGCATGAAAACTTGTGGTTCGGAACGGCTCTCTGGTCTCGACCTGACCGCCACAAGCAAAGAGATACCTGCGGCGCGTGTGTGAGAGCTGCGAGCAGAGGTGTCCATTGCTCCTCCTGTCCTCATCACACAGGCTGAGCTGGGACATGTCTTTATCCAGCTCCTTCCCTGGACTCTATGGAGGGAAGGACTCTGTACCTGTTTAGGGCCTGCGGCGGTGCAGCACCTGCAGACCTCCATCTTCACTCCTCCAACTCTGGGCCTGACGGAGCTCGGGCTGAGAGCGCGAGGAGACTTCTGTCTATCTGCCTGCTGACGACACACTCCGGGGACGTTTACTGGCTGTCTGAATAAGTCAGTAAGCTCTTTATGGCGGCTCTGCTTTGTCCCCTGGACGACTTGAGTCTTGTAGGGAACATAGATTCTTTGCCATCGAGCAGTTAATCACGTTTAGCTGCAGACATTAGCAAAAATAATAGTTATAACTACTTTAAGCTTCAAGTTGTAAACCAGTTAGGTAAAATGCTAGAAATTAAAACAGTTATATACTAAGTTTCCTTTACTTTCCACAATCTAACGGGTGTGATTGGGACCCTTCTCTTTCAATGGTGTGGTGTGTCCCTTCTCGTATCAATGGCATCGTCGTTGTCGTAGCAACTCGGCTAAACTCATCGGCTCTAGAGTGATACCTAGTGGTAAAGGTCTGCAACTGCAGCTAATATTTTGAGTTTTAACCCCGACTACTTTTACATAACACTTCTACACGTTTCAGAAAAACAAAAACATCACATTATTTGAACTTTGCGTCATTTCATCATTTTACAAGTCACCAAACAACACCTGAGTGTTATAATAATTTTTATTTTAGTTCAAATGGCGTGTTTATTTAAATATGTCAGTTTCAGACAGAAGTTCAGACTAACAAAAAAAACTTAATGAGAAAAAACGACAATCAAAAAAACATTTTCACAGCAATGTATAGATTGTTCTGTAGTACATCTATTAAAAAATACCAGCAAAAAAATAATTCAGCTGCCATATTTGTATACATATTTTATAAACATTACAGTGTTTTTTTATTTACTTAAGATAATTAACTTACCAGCGCATTTGTGGATATAAATTGATATCAGCCTTCAAACCAATACACTAACAATAAAACACACATGCTGTGATTTTTACTGTTAAAGATAAATTACACCAACATCCTGTAGAGGCCTAACAACACATCTCTACTGAACTAAATGAAAGAAGAGTGAACAGGGAACTGATGACTGACTAAACACTGCTTATTCATATAGTTATTGTTTTATTTATTCATTAAAATAACATCTTTAGTGCTTTAAACATTTCTTTTTTTCAAATTAGTTAAATTCTGCATTTTGTTATCATTTGTGTACTATTTATTTTTTAAATAACATGGTAATAAAGTATATATATTGATATGAAATTATTTGCTAAACTAAAACTTTTACAATCGTTTAAGCTTTTCGATATTTGTTTTGCATGTAATCTCTCAAGAATGAAAATGTTTTAATGTCTAATTTAAAGCAGAAAGGGCTTATCTAAAAGATCTCAATCTAAAAACTGAAATATTTGATGTTTTATTGCTGATAAGTCATCTAATAGTTGCGTTCTTCATTAAATGGAACATGATGAACGTGAACACCGAACAGTAACCTGGTGGTTTGACTTGAAGCTATTCTTTCAGCTGGAAGCAGATGTTTGTGTCCCACTGTTGATCGCCAGTCAACAGAATCCAGCAGAAAGTGTTCGGTGTAAAGATGCACCTCACTGAGACATAAACGTACAGCGTCATCATAAAACCTGGAAATGATGAACAGCAGCAGCTCAGCAGGCGCCGTGCACAAAAAGACCTGAAGCTCTCGACCTTGACCTCTCTAAGTGGCTTTAGGTCGTTTTTACACCAGATAGTCCGGTAGACTTGGTTCGGTTCGGGACCAATATTCATGACCTTTTGTTTACATTTGAGCTGGTGCGTTTGCATTTACACTGCACTGTGCAGTCGAGCCAACCTGTTGAACCAACCTATTCCCCCACTCGCCTGTGGGGGCGCTGCACCAAGAACTACTGAAAGAAGCAACACAAAAACCTCTGAAGACACGTCGTCTTCTTCTGTAAATAAAAACAAAGTGGCATCAAGCTTTAGGAGTTATATTTTGTCATTTTTCAAAAATGGACTTAGCATGAGCAGAAGATGAGACAGAAGACCATGAAGAATATTGTTTTTCCACACTAGGTAGCTGACGGCTCATACAAGGTAAGAGCAATGCGTGTTTGTTTACCCTGCGGAGCGGGGCTCGGTCTGTTTACATTCACACTGCACTCGAACCACGCTGGAGTTCGCTTCTACCAGACCGAGACCTAGGTTTTAGCCCGGGCCAGAGTTCGCCTTTTTGTTCGGTGACAGAGTTCGATGGCGCGTTCACACCTCCCCAAACGAACCGGACTTTCTAGGAAAACGAGCTAGAGTTCGATTAAAGCGGACTAAACAAGGCTGGTGTGAATGCACCCTTAAAAATCTGTTGGACTCCTGGCAAGGACTAATGCAGACATGTTCCTGTTTTAGCTGTTTTTGTTACTTTTTTGTCATCTTATTTGTAAAAAAAAAAAAAAAATCTGTATGCTTTTTTATATTTAACTATTGTTGTCGCTGTTGTCCAAATGTTGTCATCATTCTTTGTTGAAATCAGGTCTCTCTTGTAAATGAGTCCTCGAGGATCAATGGGGTTTACCTGTCTAAATAAAGGTTGAATGAATTGAGCACGTGCTCCTCTAGGGCAGGTCCAGCAGATTGTGTTTAGGGTAGAGTTCTTCAGTGAGCTGGTAAACCTCAGAGATGGCAAATGATAAATGGACTGTACTTATATAGCACTTTTCTATCTTATTTCAAGATACTCAAAGCTCTTTACACTACAATCTGTGCCTCATTTACCCATTCACACAACACTCTACTAGATCTCTACAAAGCTAATTGAACAAATCATTCTAAAGTGACTAATCAGTGCTTTAGATCACATTCATACACTGATGGGACACACATCAGAGGCTATGAGGGGTTAAGTGTCTTGCCCATGGACACTTCGACATTTGACTGCTGGTGGATTCGAACCCCCAAGTCTCGCATTGGAGGACGACTGCTCTAACCACTCAGCCACAGCCGCCCCTCTATGATAAGAGACAAAGCCTCCCCCAGCACATATACCACCTGCTCGGAGGGGGGGGGGGGGCGACCATAATCTCAAAGAAAGTGGCACGACTTGGCAGGTGTTCTGTCGGTTAGTCATACATTGTCAGATTGTCATACGCGTAGCACAAACTGATAGCCGTATCTGGTAGTCATACATTGTCAGATTGCCATACGTGCAGCACAAACTGATAGCTGTATGTGTGTGTTAGTCATACATTGTCAGATTGTCATACGCATAGCACAAACTGACGGATACATCTGTCCGTCAGTCATACATTGTCAGATTTTTATATGTTGCACAAACTGACAGCTATATCGGGTTAGCATAGGTTGCCAGATCGTCATATCAGCCATATGACACCATATGACACAATATCAGACACTGTCACTGACAGTTACTATTTATTTATTCGGTATTTATCAGTTACTTTGTTATTTATTTGTTATTTATAGTTAGTTATTTATCACTTACTTTGTTATTACTATTTGTTATTAATAATATTAACTATATTATATTATCATTGTTATTATATATATTATATGTACATGTACGGCTAGAAATAGTCGGACTCACCTCAACGCATGGTTCTGGCTCTGGAACCAGTTTCCTTGAGAGGGGTTGGACACTCTTCCACTCTGGAGTTGCCCCTGGCGAGAGGCGCCCCCATCTTTGTGCCTGTATGTTGGGGTTCACCCCGGTGAACGAGGGGGTAGCCTCCCTTCGCCTACGTTTGGGGGGACAGGTTCTGACTGTTGTTTGTGCTTATACGCCGAACAACAGCTCAGATTATCCACCCTTTTTGGAGTCCTTGGCAGGGGTACTGGAGAGTGCGCCTCCTGGGGACTCCCTTGTTCTGCTGGGGGACTTCAACGCTCACGTGGGCAATGACAGTGAGACCTGGAGGGGTGTGGTTGGGAGGAATGGCCCCCCCCGATCTGAACCTGAGTGATGTTCTGTTATTGGACTTCTGTGCTCGTCATGAATTGTCCATGACGAACACCATGTTCAAGCATAAGGGTGTCCATATGTGCTCTTGGCACCAGGACACCCTAAGCTGCAGTTTGATGATCGACTTTGTTGTAGTCTCATCTGATCTGCGGCCGCATGTCTTGAACACTCGGGTGATGATACAGTGGTGGTGGGATGCATCACAAACAATGATGAGTCCAGCTACAGGCAAGAGGTGGAACACCTGGAGAGCTGGTGCAAAGTGAATAACCTTCACATCAATGTGAAGAAGACAAAGGAGATGATTGTGGACTTCAGAAGGAACAAAAACGTCTACACCCCCCTGAACATAAGAGGATCTGCGGTGGAAGTGGTCTCCAGCTAAAAGTACTTGGGTGTACACATGAATGACAACCTCAGCTGGAGCAACAACACCACCAGCCTGATCAAGAAAGCTCATCAGAGACTCTACTTCCTCAGACGCCTGAGGCGAGCTGGTCTGGGAAGCTCAGTCCTCACCTCCTTCTACAGGTGTGCAGTGGAGAGCATCCTGTGCTACAGCATCAACTTGTGGCATGGAGGCTGCACAGCTGCAGAAAGAAAAGCTTTGCAGAGAGTGTTGAAGGCTGCACAGAAGTCTGTCGGAATCAGCCTCCCCACCATCACAGACATCTACACCTCCAGATGCAGGAAGAGGGCCACCTGCATCATGAAGGACCCCATTCACCCAGCACACACACTCTTTGCCCCACTCCCCTCAGGAAGGAGGTTGAGGAGCATTAAGTGTAGAACCACTAGACTGAGGAACAGCTTCTACCCTGAGGCTCTTAAGACTCATGAATCTCTAACTAGAATAATCACTGTGAAAAACCACATCATGTTGCTGCTGATCTGTTTCATGTTGATGTGTTCATGCGTGCACATCTTCTCACACAGACTCATGTTCATGTTTGTGCTGATGTTCAATGTTTTTATGTTATGAGTGCTTAGTGTATATTTAGTTGATGTTTTTCTTAGTTCATATCTTAGATGTTATTACTGTTTTTCTTATACATTTTGTTGTTGGATGTAACTGGGACCCTGTGTACATAATTTCATTCCACCACATGTACCACATGAGGTGCGAATGACAATAAAGAAACTCTGACTCTGACTCTCTGACTCTGAAGAGAGGAGCAGAGCTGTCCACTGACCATTACCTGGTGGTGAGTTGGCTACGATGGTGGGGGAGGATGCCGGTCAGACCTGGCAGACCCAAA